CGGCCCGAGAACTTCAAACATTGTTCGAAAGGAAGATCAGCAGCAACGGTACTTTATTAGTACGCACCACACAAAATATGTATAATGTGTTTACAACTTCGGCCTGGAAATAATCGAAACCAACCAGGTACTGATATTAATAGCATGATGGCAATCAACCAACACAATCAACCAAGTCACCGAGTTTGACACCCTATAGTATTTTCATAGTTGTAGGATGGGTATTGATTGTGTGTTTGTTTGTTGTTTAACGACGCACGTAGCAATATTCAACCTATACATGGGCGGTGTGGAAATAACTAAGAACCAAATTTCTGACATTTGTATATTTCCCATCAGTGAATAACGCAACGTGTGGCACACAAACAGGTCTTGTGGTTGATGACCTGGCATGTTTACGTAACGTGTGGCACACAAACAGGTCTTGTGGTTGATGACCTGGCATGTTTACGTAACGTGTGGCACACAAACAGGTCTTGTGGTTGATGACCTGGCAGGTTCACTTAACGTGTGACACACAAACAGGTCGTGTGGTTGATCACATGGCATGTTTACGTAACGTGTGGCACACAAACAGGTCTTGTGGTTGATGACCTGGCAGGTTTACTTAACGTGTGGCACACAAACAGGTCTTGTGGTTGATGACCTGGCAGGTTCACTTAACGTGTAATAACGTGCTAAATTGATGTATACAAAAGGATGCCTACCATTACAGTAATTATTGATGTGTGTTCAGGAATAATTACATACATACAATCACCCAGACATGAATCGAGAACTGAACGGTAGCAACTGACTTTCTATCAATTGTGCATATTCACATGGGTATGATTTCTGAAGCCTATTTTCTGTGTTCCCGGCCATGATATTACTCACTCACTCACTCACTCACTCAATCACTCACATTTAACTGCTTATTTATAGATGCAGTATAAAAGGGCAAAGCCAACTACGAAAAGCTTATATCCTGGCTTAACACATCTCCCGAGGCAAGGCAGTTTCCACTTTTTTTGGCATCGGGAAGATGGGTAACATTTGCCAACATTTACCTGATTTAGCCACGTGACAAGACTTGTTACAACACTGAATTGCTTCAAATCATGGTGTTAGCACCCTACAGAGATATCAAACATAAAACATTTGAACCATTTCATAAGACTTCTGCCTATGACTCCCTGTGTATATAATGATTGACTGGCTGCACCATCTAACGGTGACAAAGTGTGGCATGGAATGGGGAGCGAGTAGCATGTCACTCTGCCTGGAACCCTACGCAAGCAATAAATTTCCTTAATAGATTTGGCTTATATTAAACAACATATATGTGAACAGTTAATTATCTTTACTCATATCACACCCTGAGACAATCAAAAATGTCTCGTCAAGACCTCCACTCATGTTGGATATTTTGGAACGTTATGAACAGGCTGCTTCCAACCAATACGACAGTGGCTTTTTGTGTTTGTTCCCAGCCATGTTGATGACACTCGAGCTAATGTTGCTACTGACCAATACGACAGTGTCTTCTTGTGTTGTTTCCCAGCCATGTTGGTGACACTCGAGCTGATGTTGCTACTGGCCAATACGACAGTGTCTTCTTGTGTTGGTTACCAAACCATGTTGGTGACACTCGAGCTGATGTTGCTACTGACCAATACGACAGTGTCTTATTGTGTTGGTTACCAAACCATGTTGGTGACACTCGAGCTAATGTTGCTACTGACCAATACGACAGTGTCTTCTTGTGTTGGTTACCAAACCATGTTGGTGACACTCGAGCTGATGTTGCTACTGACCACTACGACAGTGTCTTCTTGTGTTGGTAACCAAACCATGTTGGTGACACTCGAGCTGATGTTGCTACTGACCAATACGACAGTGTCTTCTCGTGTTGGTTACCAAACCAAGTTGGTGACACTCGAGCTGATGTTGCTACTGAACAATACGACAGTGTCTTCTTGTGTTGGTTCCCCAGCCATGTTGGTGACACTCGAGCTGATGTTGCTACCAACCCATACGACAGTGTCTTCTTGTGTTGGTTACCAAACCATGTTGGTGACACTCGAGCTGATGTTGCCACTGACCAATACGACAGTGTCTTCTTGTGTTGGTTACCAAACCATGTTGGTGACACTCGAGCTGATGTTGCTACCAACCAATACGACAGTGTCTTCTTGTGTTGGTTACCAAACCATGTTGGTGACACTCGAGCTGATGTTGCTACCAACCAATACGACAGTGTCTTCTTGTGTTGGTTACCAAACCATGTTGGTGACACTCGAGCTAATGTTGCTACTGACCAATACGACAGTGTCTTCTTGTGTTGGTTACCAAACCATGTTTTGGCACTCGAGCTAATGTTGCCACTGACCAATACGACAGTGTCTTCTGGTGTTGGTTACCAAACCATGTTGGTGACACTCGAGCTGATGTTGCTACTGACCAATACGACAGTGTCTTCTTGTGTTGGTTCCCCAGCCATGTTGGTGACACTCGAGCTGATGTTGCTACTGACCAATACGACAGTGTCTTCTTGTGTTGGTTCCCCAGCCATGTTGGTGACACTCGAGCTGATGTTGCTACTGACCAATACGACAGTGTCGTCTTGTGTTGGTTCCTCAGCCATGTTGGTGACACTTGAGCTAATGTTGCCACTGACCAATACGACAGTGTCTTCTTGTGAGGGCAAGCTACAATATAGTTCACGAGGTCCGTAAACTAAGTCGGTAATATTGAAACTTGTGAAATATTGTATGCATATATTACCACTATGTAATCTGAACAAGAATCACATACAATTACAGTATCATCTGCAGGGAGAAAGGTCAAGGTTACAACGTCAGTTGAGCAAAGCACAGCGGGGGTCAGCGATGTCATGGCGCTGTAACAATAGTTTCAAGTATATTATTCTCCATTAAATGTAAACAACAAAATGATATAGCGATGGCCAATTATGGGCTGTGTTGGTGTGTTTTGTAATGTCTCTTTTCGCTCCAAACACGCGTACCCTGCCTGAACACATGTCCGTGGTAGAATACTAGGAATACGCAACAGTCAGCGAATTTCAGTTTGGCTTCAAACATTTAGCTGCAAGCTTACCGACTGCATCTGCTGGAATGTCAGCACAGTCCAGGCGAAACCTGTCAGCATCACAGAATGTACTGTCGAAAATGTTTCCTGGACAATTCATCGTATGTTCCACTGGATACACATAGCTCACTTATTCGTGATAATTAACCTAATTCAAGTCGACATCGCCCTCAAAAATCTGAGTCTGGCAACCTAGCCGTTGTTCTAGCCACGGCCACTGATCATACAAGCTGAAAACGATCCTCTATCCAGGACTATGCGATGTAGTTTATCGCGAAGATAACGTGCGGCCTTACATTCGGTGTGTAATGTATGTTATGGATCATGCACATGAACGTAAATATTAAAGCGTTCAGTGAACTTGAAACTGGGGATTAGCGGTGATTGTCCAAGAACGTCAGTGTGTAAAAGAGATAACGTCAAACAGCACGGTGCTCTTCATTGGGAAGAATTCAGTTTCTGACAATCAGGTTCACACGTATCTTGATATAAGCCATAGAGACTGTTTCATGCTTTTGTCAAATACGATGTATATCTCATCGAGTGAAGTTTTAAAATGTGGATTTCAGACTGCACCAGATGAGATATACATCGTCTTTGACAAACACCATGAAAGAGTAAATTTATTATATAATTTTGATGCTAAAGTGCTCTCTTTTCGAAGATTTGTCAACTGCTGGTCAAGTCGCATTCTCAGTCACTACAGTGATCGACAGTGTGTGTACAAAATAGTTCCGATTTTAAACTTACACACAAACACGCAAACTAATGTTTTTCTACTTTTCAACATTTATTGTTGAATCTCCAAAGTTAAAATATAAAAGCTTAAAAAAATATACAAAAGCTGTTTTGTGGCGAACCAGTGGGAAGGAGCATGGATACAACAGATCCACCATTAGGGCAAAGATCAGTGGTCCGCTTCCTCGCAAGTGTGTGGGACTAAACTCAAACAAGAACACAACAAACAGCATGGTCTTAGGTTTTTTTAAACATGTTACTCATCTTGTTTTGTTCCAGTTGTACACTAGCAGACAAACCAAGGGAGACAACTTTCAAGGGCATAACTCTGGAGGAAACTAGTTCCGTCATCCCAGGGCCATGAAAATACTGGGTTTTTTACTTTTATGACAGTGAAATATGACTTTTGATGATAATAAGACTTTTATTCTTTTCATATGACACATGTCAAAATCAAGTATAGAATAAATTGTTTCATGCTAAAGTTTGTCAATATTTTCCTTTGGTTAATTATGTTTCTTGGGTAACTAACGGTGCTCTTGTAATCGAACTGTGAACGAGGGAATGTAGAGACAGTAGTCCCATAACAGTCCGGGTCTGAGCCAATCAAATCCATAGAGTGACTGAAAGTTACATGTGCTCACTGGGAAATATGTTCACTGATATGTTTTCCCCTTGGGGTCATAAAAGAGGATATAAGATGGTAACAGGTACTTCCAATGTACTATGTGTAACTGGTGTGTGTTACTAGATAAAAGCGACAAAACTGGTGCAACCAAGGGGTGAGTGAGTGAATGAATGAGCCGCTTTCGGTAATATTCCAGCAATATCACGGTTGGGGACACCAGAAATGGGCTTCACACATATTTTCTATTTCCTTCGGCGTGACGAGTAAACGCTTTAACCACTGTGCTACCTCACTGCCCACCAAGAGGAAATATAGCTCTTCAGTTGTGGTCACCTCCAGCCACAACCACTAGCCGGACTGGTCAAGGTGGTCACTCCTCCGTATTATCGTGCTATTTAGTTTGAAGACTTTAAAGTTTGCCTGATCTGTATTGCAAAAGTGTTAAATCGATTAGTAATGTCAGATTATTATCAACATGTGAATGTTTGTACAAGTGTACACATAAAATACAGTTGATCTAATAGCCAATATATAAACGCAGAAAGATGTGTACAGTGCGTGATTTATTTCGTACAAACTGCACATGTCATCTCCCAGCCATCAACATATTTGGGACATGGTAGAGAACCACACTTGGACTCCACCGGGTACAAGAGATGCCCTTCTTTGTTCTCATGGCCTCCCTGGACAGATTCTGGATCTTCATCTACACACACGTAATCACTTGACCCTGTGTGTGTAGTGGCTCCCCCAAAGAGGTACCCCTTGTATTCCAGATGCCACTCAGGGAAGCAGGCATTCCTGGCAGGGACCATGACAGCACTCCTCCTGTGACGACTGCGGCACACAACACAAGGGACATCGTGTAAGACCATTTTTTGTAGGGGATCTGTGGCTGCATTTGGTCGATACTCAGTACCATATAGATAACTCTGTGATCCTGCTGTGGAGTGTCTGACATAGATCGGTGACTCAGGGAGGCACAGAGTTGTCCCTGGTCCACCTCTGGCCTCGAAGTGACTTCCTCCTGCAAATCCTGAAAGATAGGAAGTAACAGCCTTTCCATCTGTGTGTATGTGAGAGTTATGTCAAAGAATACCCATGGTATATATGATGTGATAAACCTGAGTTGTCCACGGGGTTATACCTACAGAAATTGTCCTAGGGTTTATACCTACATAAATAACCCACAGGTTAATACCTACATGTATTGTCCAAGGATTAATACCTACATAAATTGTCCACGGGTTAAAAACTACATACTTTCTTCAGGTATTAATACCTACATAATTGTCCACGGGTTAATGCCTACATACATTGTCCAAGGGTTAATGCCTACATAAATTGTTCACGGGTTAATACCTACATATACTGTCCATGGGTTAATACCTACATAATTTGTCCAGGGGTTAATACCTACATAACTTGACTCTAGCACCTGAAGACAAGTACATTCCTCTTTTGAGCTGAATTTTAAAGCTCAATAAAAATCAGTACACAGGGAAATATATTGCAGTGTCCACCAAATGTACCACCAAATCCCTGTCTTAGTTTACAATTAAGGGAGGACTTTCTTTATATTCACAAAAAAATATTTGAGACAGTGGAATTAATACAATGTAGATTATCAAACCTCAAAAGATTTGATTGACTTTTTACAATTTCAGAGAACCAGATTTAATTCTGTCAAATCATTTGATGTTTCAACTTTCTACAGCATTATCACACATGACAAAATGAGGAAAAACTTAATTCCTTGTTGTATGGGGATTTTGTTACAAAGCGTGGTGACCATAGATATTTGTACATATCTGTCTTCAGAGGCTCAGATCAATTCGTAAAAAATAAAAAGTAAATGCCATCTGAGTTTACTGAGAAAACAACATGTGAAATGCTGGACTTCCTCAGTGATAACATTTATGTAAATGTGTGGGTACAACATTTAGGCAAGAAGTAAGCATCCCCAAGGGCACCGATTGCGCTCCTCGTCTTGCTGATCTGTTTCTTTATGCATCTTAGTGAGAAATTCCGATTTGAAAAGTCAAAACAAGGTATTTTCGCCAAGAAGTTTAACTTAAGATTCAAGTATTCAAAAAAGAAACGCATAACGAAAATGGTAATTTGATGCAGCAATGTATTGGTACAGGGTGGGTTTTTCAAAAATATTTGTTTGTTTATGATTTCTCTGGTGTCTTAAAACGTCATATCCAAACGCATCCCGCATGAAAACCCCGTTTGTTCAAGCATGATTTTCTATAGACGCATTTAATGTCACAGAACACGTATTGCACGTGCAATGCGCGGGAAACTCGGGGATCACATCGTGTCGTGGATGGGTATCAAAGATCGATCTCCGTCTTTTTTCATTCACTTAATTTGGAAGTTTGTGAAGACCGCAAAATGCCAAGACTGAGCCGCGCCAATCGTCACATCGCCATAGGTCTCCTGGAAGCAGGACAATCTCAACTTATCAAAGCACGATTTCTCGTCTATGGGAGAGATATCGGCAGCAGAACTCGGTGGAAGATGGACCTAGTGGACGTCCTCGAGTCACCACTGCGGCGCAAGATAGATACATCCGGGTACATCACCAGCGAACAGCGCTACAGCGACCACTACCGCTAGGCATATACCCTGATTGAGAAGGATATCTGTACAGACTGTCAGGAACAGACTACGAGAGGCAGGTTTAAGAGCAAGAAGACCCTACTTTGGACCCGTTATGCATCAGCAGCATCGACGTCATCGCGTTCAATGGTGTACAAACGTTCAGGCCTGGAATTTGGTGAGTTGGCGTCGAACCTTGTTCAGGGATGAATCGATATTTCTGTTGGAACGACGCGATGGAAGAATACGGGTTTACGGACGACGTCATGAACGTTTTGCCGACGCCTGTGTCCCCCAGGTGGACAGATTCAGCAGGGGCAGGGTGATGATGTGGGGAGCCATATCCTACACTGGAAGAAATGAGTTGGTGTTGATCCAAGGCAACCTGACATCGCAACGCTACTGCGATCAAGTCCTTCGTCCACACCTCCTTCCCATTATCAACCGCCACAGGGAGCGACAGTGTATATATATATATACAGTGAGAGAGTATATATTGATGATCTGATCTGAGGTAAATCCAGCATGCTCTTTCTATCAAGATTTCATAGAGCGCCATACAACTGTTCCGCAGAAGTTTTTTAATCAAGCTTACAACATTTAAGGCCTCAGTAAAGCTTTCAAAAAGTTTTATGGTAGACATGTGGAGGACATTTCCAAATTTGATACATCAGTGACAAGAACGATGTCCGATGCAATTCCCTATTTTGACTTGTACCATAAGCTCCCGTTTTGTTCCAGGTGACAAATTGACTTGCCTTTGCATGTGTTTGTGACGGTTGCCACTGGTTGGGCAGGATATGCTCACCTTATCGTGAACACCTGGTATCACTATTTGGTAGTGATTCAAAAACACTTGCTCATGACATATTCAGAATTTTACGAAATTTTGGGCTTGGGCGTTGTTGTGTAGGCATGTGTAGTGGTTGGTCCTGCTGTGCATCTTAGAATTATCATGCTCGAATACTGCTTTGGCGTTTTGTATAATGGGAGTGACCTGTGCCTGCAGAATTTCTTCAAGGTCCCGATATGCAGTAAAGTTGGAATTATCATCGCACGAGATTGCTGTCCACGCCATCACATTCAATCTGCTGAATCTGTACACTTCCTGTCTGAAATATGCCGCAAAACGTTCACATTGACGTCTAAGCACTCGACATCTTCCATCTGCACCACGAACCAAAAACGTGTTTCACAGCTTAAACACACAGTTCCTCCATGGCAGGTTTCTCTATAGACGTGACACTACTGACGTAGTCGATGATGCTGGTCCAGCAGGTAGGCGACTCTTACCTTCTGGCTCGATGTCCTGCAGCAAGGAGGCGACTCTTACCGTCTGGCACGATGTCCTGCAGCAGGTGGGCGACTCTTACCATCTGGCTCGATGTCCTGCAGCAGGTAGGCGACTCTTGACGTCTGGCTCGATGTCCTGCAGCAGGTAGGCGACTCTTACCGTCTGGCTCGATGTCCTGCAGCACGTAGGCGACTCTTACCGTCTGGCTCGATGTCCTGCAGCAGGTGGGCGACTCTTACCGTCTGGCTCGATGTCCTGCAGCAGGTAGGCGACTCTTACCGTCAGGCTCGATGACCTGCAGCAGGTAGGCGACTCTTACCGTCAGGCTCGATGTCCTGCAGCAGGTAGGCGACTCTTACCGTCTGGCTCGATGACCTGCAGCAGGTAGGCGACTCTTACCGTCTGGCTCGATGACCTGCAGCAGGTAGGCAACTCTTACCGTCTGGCTCGATGTCCTGCAGCAGGTAGGCGAGTCTTACCGTCTGGCTCGATGACCGGCAGCAGGTAGGCGACTCTTACCGTCTGGCTCGATGACCTGCAGCAGGTAGGCGACTCTTACCGTCTGGCTCGATGTCCTGCAGCAGGTAGGCGAATCTTACCGTCTGGCTCGATGACCTGCAGCAGGTAGGCGAATCTTACCGTCTGGCTCGATGACCTGCAGCAGGTAGGCAACTCTTACCGTCTGGCTCGATGTCCTGCAGCAGGTAGGCGAGTCTTACCGTCTGGCTCGATGACCGGCAGCAGGTAGGCGACTCTTACCGTCTGGCTCGATGTCCGGCAGCAGGTAGGCGACTCTTACCGTCTGGCTCGATGTCCGGCAGCAGGTAGGCGACTCTTACCGTCTGGCTCGATGTCCTGCAGCAGGTAGGCGACTCTTACCGTCTGGCCCGATGACCGGCAGCAGGTAGGCGACTCTTACCGTCTGGCCCGATGACCGGCAGCAGGTAGGCGACTCTTACCGTCTGGCTCGATGTCCTGCAGCAGGTAGGCGACTCTTACCGTCTGGCTCGATGACCGGCAGCAGGTAGGCGACTATTACCGTCTGGCTCGATGTCCTGCAGCAGGTGGGCGACTCTTACCGTCTGGCTCGATGACCTGCAGCAGGTAGGCGACTCTTACCATTTGGCTCGATGACCTGCAGCAGGTAGGCGACTCTTACCGTCTGGCTCGATGTCCGGCAGCAGGTAGGCGACTCTTACCGTCTGGCTCGATGTCCTGCAGCAGGTAGGCGACTCTTACCGTCTGGCCCGATGACCGGCAGCAGGTGGGCGACTCTTACCGTCTGGCCCGATGACCGGCAGCAGGTAGGCGACTCTTACCGTCTGGCTCGATGTCCTGCAGCAGGTAGGCGACTCTTACCGTCTGGCTCGATGACCGGCAGCAGGTAGGCGACTCTTGACGTCTGGCTCGATGACCGGCAGCAGGTAGGCGACTCTTACCGTCTGGCTCGATGACCTGCAGCAGGTAGGCGACTCTTACCATTTGGCTCGATGACCTGCAGCAGGTAGGCGACTCTTACCGTCTGGCTCGATGACCGGCAGCAGGTGGGCGACTATTACCGTCTGGCTCGATGACCTGCAGCAGGTAGGCAACTCTTACCGTCTGGCTCGATGACCTGCAGCAGGTAGGCGACTCTTACCATCTGGCTCGATGTCCTGCAGCAGGTAGGCGACTCTTACCGTCTGGCTCGATGACCTGCAGCAGGTAGGCGACTCTTACCATCTGGCTCGATGTCCTGCAGCAGGTAGGCGACTCTTACCATCTGGCTCGATGACCTGCAGCAGGTAGGCGACTCTTGACGTCTGGCTCGATGACCGGCAGCAGGTAGGCGAGTCTTACCGTCTGGCTCGATGTCCTGCAGCAGGTAGGCAACTCTTACCGTCTGGCTCGATGTCCTGCAGCAGGTAGGCGAGTCTTACCGTCTGGCTCGATGACCTGCAGCAGGTAGGCGAATCTTACCGTCTGGCTCGATGTCCTGCAGCAGGTAGGCGAATCTTACCGTCTGGCTCGATGACCTGCAGCAGGTAGGCGAATCTTACCGTCTGGCTCGATGACCTGCAGCAGGTAGGCAACTCTTACCGTCTGGCTCGATGTCCTGCAGCAGGTAGGCGAGTCTTACCGTCTGGCTCGATGACCTGCAGCAGGTAGGCGACTCTTACCGTCTGGCTCGATGACCGGCAGCAGGTAGGCGACTCTTACCGTCTGGCTCGATGACCGGCAGCAGGTAGGCGACTCTTACCGTCTGGCCCGATGACCTGCAGCAGGTAGGCGACTCTTACCATCTGGCTCGATGACCTGCAGCAGATAGGCGACTCTTACCGTCTGGCTCGATGTCCTGCAGCAGGTAGGCGACTCTTACCGTCTGGCTCGATGTCCTGCAGCAGGTAGGCGACTCTTGACGTCTGGCTCGATGACCGGCAGCAGGTTGGCGACTCTTACCGTCTGGCTCGATGTCCTGCAGCAGGTAGGCGACTCTTACCATTTGGCTCGATGACCTGCAGCAGGTAGGCGACTCTTACCATCTGGCTCGATGACCGGCAGCAGGTGGGCCCTGTTCCATGATGTTTACAGTTAGTCTACAGGATCTAGCAAAGTCACGTGTTGTCCTTTGGTGTAAGTAATGAATCAAGATGGAGCTTGAAGAAACGGCCGACCAGGACGTATTCGTTTCCCGGCGACCGGTGGCATTGTTTCACTCTGCTTCAAGCATGTGTTTGGTGTTGTGCGATCTCCCAATCTTTCAGAACAGGTAAACGAAAACTATGGTCACCTGGTATGTACACGGATGCGTTTTGGTGAATTTGCACGTTTGTGTTCTGCATTTCGCCCTTGCTGCGTTTTGGCAACTCTAACAATTGCGTATTTTTGAGACACCAAACACCATAATATTCAAACATTCTGTATCGTTTGTGTAAAAATTTGACATATATAGTGACTTCATTCATTTTGCGTTTTTTTTGTGTTGAGTATATAACGGAAATCGATACATGTTTACATGTAAACTAATAGCATATGCTGTCTTTAAGGAAAAAATACATAATTCGGCAACACGAACGGCTACGAACACATAGGCTCTTCAATTAACTGCCACATTTACATTTATGGAGAGATGGTCTCAGAAATAAGGAACAAGTGCGATATTAATTGTGATAAAGGTACGTAATATATACTGAACCAAATTAAAAACTTCTCAATCCTAAAATTTTAACATTTTGACCAGTTATCAATGTGGACCCTCATTGTGTATTTAAACAGTAATGGCCACGTATTGTCTTAAGCTAACCCGTTTTTGTGATGAATCCCGATTTAATCTTCGATTTGCTGATGGTAGGGTGAGGGTGTGGAGGCGTTCATGTGTTCACAAACCTCACAAGGTCCACGCGGAGGCGTTGTGTGGCAGTTGTCAACGCACATGGTGGCTATACACGCTACTGAACTAGTGTGCCATCAGATTCTCGTGCTTGGGACTTATGATTTAAACTGTTGATGTTATTACCGAATACCGTAGTTGCTTGGAACAAACTGTGGTTACCACCGTTAATTAAAATCCTTCTTTGGACATTAATGATTATAAATTACCTTCTCTGATACATTTGTCCGTTGTATATCATATATGGGAATACTTTTTAAATGTGAAGTTTTTAATTTGACACAGTATGGTTGCAAAGGAAACATTTGAAGTTGTAAATGTTTACAATCAACTAAGAAGACAAAAGTGGAATTTGCTTTGACAGCTTCTGGATGTCTGTTTTGCCTAAATTTATAAAAGTTGTTACACTAAAATAACATCGAACGCTATATGTCTGTCAGGAGTCACATTTCACCAGTATTAATGGAACCTGAACATTTTCTCGGCATCATCCCCATGGTGGCTGTTTTTACTGTTATGGTAAACGTGTGCTTTCCCACCACATTAAGTTTAACTTTGAACAAAAGCTATCCGGGCATTAAAGGCAAACGATCATGTGTCTCTACACGCCTTACCTTTATACATGACGTCATTTCCTGATGGACAAGTTGTCTTTCCCCACCGCGTAAACATCGCTCCTCCTACAGATACACAGAATATAACATCTCAATGCATGCTCAACGTGTGTGTGTGCGCGTTCGTGCGTGCGTGCGCATCTCATTCTGCATTTCGTAACGTTATGCCAGTCCAGGCAGACTTTAAAGCCCCACCCTGACTATAAATAGCCCGCAAGGTGGCGGTGTTTCAGTTTCGAACAATGACTGACAATGTAAACACAACCGAGTGTCGGGAGACGTTTTTTGAAAACCATACAGAAACAAGATCACCATTGACCGTCAAACTTCGTATCAACTTGAGTGACAAACCATGGATACAACAAATGGCTCCATATCAAGATATAAGTCAATAAATTTTCTGTAGTTTTATCCTAAAAAATCGAATCGATCGTGTTTGGCGTCTGCATCGATCACAGTGGGCGGAGCTTATTTACGTTTGCGCTATAAATCGCAAAGCACATGGTCATGTGTACATGTGGCACATTTAATGCATTTGTGGTCAAAGTGTATTGTGTTGTATATTTTTACGGCAGAACAGCAGCAGAACATCAGTTTCAGTTAATGTAACAGTAACGATACTTAAATACGAAATTGACGCGATTCTTTCAGTTCAATCCGAAAATTACAGATATTTGTTTAGCTTTGGTCATTTGCATTCAACAGTTAGATTTGTGCCACACAATAATCAATTTATATCCATAAAACGTAAATTTTTACAGAGATTTTTCAACTAGTGTTTAGGAAGGGGCCTAATTTGAAGCACCAGAAGTTGCGCCAATATTTCTCAGCTTGACTACAATAGATGAATATGTTACGTGTATCAACATAACAATGCACATAAGCAACTGGTAAATAAGTAACTGAATATACTTGATGTTTTGGCCTACAGAAGGCGTATCCGGATAATATTGTACTTACGATAAACGAAAACTCCAATACACATATTCCAAGACAACTTTAATTATGAATTTCCTTTTCTTTCACAGAATTTTCACACACAAAACTGAGTTTGATCATTAGATCCACACTTGTCCCATGTATTTTTTGTTCGCGGTATTTGGATACACTTCGCGCACAAATTTTAAAATACAATCTGGGATCCCTTTCCCGTTTTGTCCAAACCAATCCTTCATTTGCTGCAACGTATAATTCCGTTTCTTCAAGTCCAAGTATCTACGATCTCTCCAAACACTTCGTTTATTTAGCTCAGTCCAGAAACAATGTGTTCGAATCGACGAATTTCTGCAACAAGGTGGCCGCACCATTCCCTAACTGCGATTGTCTGTGCCGTGTCACGCATGGTTGACAAAAGAAGTGTGAACATACATATTCGGCTTCATCTGGTTCCACAATGAAATCTCGCTGTGACACTGATTCACTACTCCCAAGAATCGGCACTGAATTTGTCAAAGTTTCTGTTGCACTTGCAAGGGCGGGAAGAGAGGCGCCATCTTGTCGATTCGAGTTGTGAATCGGAATGAAGTCATCTTGAATTGGAACTTTCTCCACGATAAAGTCACCAATGTCACAATCGAAATGACCAAAGGCTCCCTGATTATCTCGAACAACTCTTCGTCAAATTAGGATTTACATGAAAATGTTTTGTTGCTCATATTGAAGACAAGCGAAATTGCAAAGTTCTCGTCAGTTGTAAGCAGCAACTCGATGCACTCATGGGGCGTGGTTGCTAGGAGATCGCGAGGTCAGAAAGGGGAAAACAAAAAGTTTTATAAAGTAATAAAATAAATCCGCAGTGCAATCCCAAAGTACCATGTACAGGATATTTTTGAATAATAATATTCACTAAAAAAAATCTTTTCTAAAAGTGCAAATTAATTTATTAATTCATCCCAAGGTCGTAACCCTGATCACGTGGTGGGTATTTGGAAGGAATCTTGTGATGAAGCTGTGAATGAGGCCGTGTGTATAACATTGTTGAATTCAACTGACCAGGAAGGTTGTTGAGGCACATTATGACATATGCTCGTCATGGATGGAGAAAAAATGTATCTGAGAGAAACATTGTTGCTTTGAGCTTCGCGACAAAACATGTGTTCATGCCGAAGTAGTTTACAAGAGAGGATGATCTGTGCAGCCAGCGACCTGAATAAGCTTGATGAAAATAATGTTGAAATCCATTTTCTCGCACATGACAAAATTAATGTGAACAAATGTTTATTTGAACATCATTTCGAAGTCTGTGAGGCTGTCCGTATTTTAATATTCTTATTTCCATTGCGACGTGAAATAATATAATGTTTTCGTGTCTTAATTTTGCTGCCGCTGTGGAAAATTGCGCACCGATCTATTAAAAGAAATACTACTAGTTCAACTTTATAAAAGAACCAGATCAACTTTATCTTTGTTCCGTTGTTTATTAAAAAATCGAATCGATCTACATAATAAACAAATTCATAGACTAGATTCTAGTACCAAGTGTTTAAACTCTTTTTTTAAATGTCATAAAATAACTTACACAAGTATTGAAAGACATTTTTTGATAAGTAATATATATTTTATCTCGTCCGGTCGCTCTCTGGTTAGTTTAGGCTTGAGGGGAGAAACACATACAAAAAATATGGATGGCCTTATGCAAATGAACCTTGGCATGCCAATCAAGAGGGATCTGGGTCACTGGGACCCGCCAAGTTTCACGGATCGAGTTACTTCGGCACGAAGAGCTTCATCGGACAAGTGTGACAAGTGTGCCAAAATACGTTGCTACGGGCAATGAAAAAATGTCACGGAAACGACAAAAAAAACTACTTTGATCACGTGAAAATATTTTTGACCATTACCAGGGTTTTTTACACGATCGTTGTCATCCAGATTCCAGATGAAGGCAAGACGAACACAACGAAGAAAAACACTGTTGAAATCACCGATTACCGTGTATATGTGAGAAATTCTATTTATAAACTGCAGATATACCGTACACCACAGGATAACGATTGGTGCCGTGACACATATTATGTTGTTTTTTTGTTCAATTACACTGTTCATATTCATCACGACAAACGTATTAATTCGTTGTCGTCGGGAGATCTAGAATAGCTCAGAACAAGAACGTCTATAATTTCTGTGTTGGACTGCGTTGGATATATCGTGGACATTCCGCGGTATCATTTTATGAAGATGTGAAGACGACATGGCAGGTGGGTTTTGAAACCAAAGACCTACGCGTTTGTTGAAAAGTCTTGGAATCGTTTGATAGATATTTATTACCATTAAAACTTACGTCCTTGTTGTCAAACGGCCCACGTGGGTGGGTGTTTACATGACGTCACCCGTTTACGTAATAACCAATGAAATGTGTGTGTTATCATGACGTCATATTGACCTGTCAGATCACTCGTATAAGCTCCGCCCACTAGAGTGCGGTAGTTCCTACCGCAGATGGGGCTTTAAACAAACGTGACGTCTCATAGACTTCCTTGGAAAAAGGGCAAGTACTCAAGCGGGTAGACTTATGGGTTGCCGCAAAAGGCAAATAGAAGCAATACTGATTTGTCATTTTGCCTTTATGTCTAAAAACAGGTTTCATTTGGAACTTTATTGACCGTTGTCATTCTCTGACTTATAAATCACCGACTTTCTGTCGTAATATGTATTAATGCGCGCATTCAAGAAAAGCTTAAGTTACCGTTTTTGAAAAACGAGAACTGGTTTTCCCGCTACAGATTTTAAGAATGACGTTAAATGATAAGTTTTTATCAAACGCATGGCCAAGACTCGCTAAATACAATGTTTATTGAAAATAAAGATATTTATCACCGCAAAGCACACAAGCGTCATAACCTCTGTGTCTGAGAATAATGCAACGCTATGTTGATCTTTATTTTTAAGCTATTGATCGATTCGAGTATTTGTGTAGTTCGTCAATACTGAAAAATCTCCTGGTATTAACGTTAAAAACCATCATCTTAAACAACACTTGTAGCTTATATTTTCATAATTACAGACGAGTGCAACTGAAACAACAAATATTTACAGGTTATTGTTTTACTTGGTGTTGTGTCATCTGGAGTTAATGTACCAATGTGTGCTATACCCGAGCTGCTACTGTGTGGAGTGGATGTCACTGGCGACAGAACCGCTTCCCCAGGTAGCGAGTCAGCAGCGAAATCAACTCATGCAAGAAATTCCGGTTCGTGGTAGCCGTGTCGGAAGTTTTGCCACATTGTGGAATTTGATGATTATCAGTATAGAAAACAGATATAAGATTCTTGGCATTGAACACATTTTTCATAAATCAAATCATGCCAATGTTCAAGTAAACATGGAGTAACTGGGTTGTGGTACCAACAGCTTTCTGCCATTCATCTTTTCATTCATCAAGTAGCATCTTTGAAAGAGACAGAGAACTATACAGAATATGTGTTTCGCCCAATGCGATCAGCCATTGGTTTCTTTCCCGTAGTGACTTTGATGATCATCAGAGAAGGAAGAAGATATATGTGTTTTTGTAACTTAACATAATTTTCATTCATCCGATCGTTTCCATATGTTTCCATATGTTTCCATATAAACACGACCCGTGAAGACCCGGGGTAGAATAGGTCTTCAGGAACCCATGCTTGCCGTAAAAGGCGACTATGAGGGATCGGGTGGTCATCGTATCCCAATGCTCATGGTATTATTCACTGGATTATCTGGTCCAGACTCGATTATTTACAGACCGCCGTCATATAGCTGGAATATTGCTGAGTGCGGCGTTAAACAACAAACCAACCAGCCAACCATATAAACACGTACCTTGAATGACTCAGCGTGATGACCAGCATGATGACAGAAGCAGTTAACGTTACCTCCATGGCTGTAGACAGAATACCCTCTGTGTGGCTTTAGTGTCATACACATTCAACACGGATATGACAACTCAACTAGATGTGGTATGTCTGCTGTTCAGACAAGGCAACCTGTGGCTCATGTAACGCTTTCCATATTTGCTGAACGCGAGCAAATGATAGCGTAATGACCCAGCTGTTGCCGACACTATTTCCTATTTGGTATCAAACATATAAAAGCGATTTACACCTCTCCCCACGTATATGCAGCACCTGCCTGAAGGTGGCATGTCCTGTTTTGAAATATAATCAGTTGTCACTATCATTGAGGGATGGAAGAGTGGTGAAACTTTCGTTCACTCGGATGGGGACCGGGGACTGATTTCACAAACGCTCTTCTGTGTGTATTCAATCGATATTACTGCAATGTTGTTTAAAGCTCTCTTGCTCATTCGACAATTATTTTGTAATAATTGTAACATTTCAGTTTAGGTAAAAAGGTAATTGAATTTGTGCAACGTATGTTTTAGAAATCAAAGATATACTGAATTTTGATTATGATATGTAATTGTAATTTAGAACTACAAAGCTACAAAACACTTTCCATCATAATAAGAACTCTCTGTTTCAAGCATAGTCTATCTTACGATTCCGACTGTGCTTTCTTGTAGTTCATGATCCTATGCTTGTCGTAAGAGGCGACTGACGGGATCGGGTGGTCAGCCTCGCTGACTTGGTTAATGCATGTCATCGTATCCCAATTGCGTGGATCAATGCTCTTGATATCAGTCACTGAATCGTCTGGTCCAGACTCGAATATTTACAGACCGCCGTCATATAGCTGGAATATTGCTGAGTGCGGCGTTAAACAACAAGCAAACCAACAAAGGAAGCGTTTGTGACTGGTGCCTCAGTTGGGACAGGATACGCTTACCTTTTCTCGAACACCTGGTATCATCACTATTTGATATTGATTCCTAAACACATGCACATGACATACGTAAAAAGTATAACTCAAGCTCAATATTCATTACTTATTTTCCTGACTAGTTCAAATGAATGGTGAACACGTTTTTCTTTAAGAATTGTTGAAATAACCATCCACATATATATATTTCATTTTATCGCAACCTGCACGGCAAGGATCACTTCTAAGAAGTCAACTTGTCGGGGTGACTGGTCGTTGAAATAGTGACCAAATCGTTGAACTGATATATACTGAACCAAATTAAAAACTCACGATCCTAAAATTTTAACATTTTGACCAGTTATCATTGTGGGCCCTTATTGTGTATTTAAACAGAAATGGCCACGTATTTTCTGCAGAGAACACCCGTTTTTGTGCAGGTGAATCGATCAAAATCATGTGCACAGCACTATAGTGGCAAAAGTGTTTTTTCACGTGCAACTTGTCACGTGGCCATAATACCGCACTTGTTTTCAAACATACTTGTTAGCAGTCATTAACAGAAAAAGAAAAACACAAGAAAACAAAAGTCTTTACGGCCATTTGTCATGCCACACTTTTCAAATGTGCAGACGGGAACGTCCGTAGCTGAGGTCGCAAGGACGATGGGTTGTAGTCGACGGACTGTTTATGATTTACAGACGCGTCTACAGCAAACGGGAACAACCGCTGATCGCCCTCGGCCAGGTCGACCGCGTGTGACGTCACATGCAGAGGATCGTCAGATTGTCTTACGTCACCTCCGTAACCGATTTTTGATGGTTACATCAACCAGAAATGAACTGTTTAGGGGTAGACTGAGTACGCAAACTGTTTGAAACCGTCTGAGAACTGCTCACCTTCAAGCACGACGGCCATACTGCGGGCCGATTCTAACTCAATTGCGCAGACGTCAACGTCAATTGTGGGCACAGTGACACTTACGATGGACTCAGATGAATTGGAATCAAGTCGTCTTCAGTGATGAATCCCGATTTAATCTTCGATTTGCTGATGGTAGGGTAAGGGTGTGGAGGCGCCGTCATGAACGTTATGCCCAGTGTTGTGTACAGGAAGTTGACAGATTTCGAGGCGGAAATGTCATGGTGTGGGGTGTTTCTGTGGCAATGCACGTTCCAGGCTTTTTGTCATCCGTGGCAACGTCAACGCTGCTGCTTACCGCGACCAGGTACTGGCACCAGAACTTCTGCCTTTTATGGCAGCACATTGGCCCGGTTTGATCTTCCAACACGACACAGCAATTTTGACAAGGAATTTCCTTCAGAATGCGGGAGTCAACGTCATGAACTGGCCGTCAAGGTCTCCAGACCTCAATCCCATCGAACACGTCTGGGATGCTGAAGTCCAAGAACCATTTGGCATCATTTTGCAGCAACAATGGCGTCGTCTTCCCGATCATGTGTTCACAAGCATCACAAGGTCCATGCGGAGGCGTTGTTAGGCAGTTGTCAACGCACATAGTGGCCATACACGCTACTGAACTAGTGTGCCATCAGATTCTCGTGCTTGGGACATATGATTTAAACTGTTGATGTTATTACCGAATACCGTAGGTGCTTGGAACAAATTATAGTTACCACCGTTAATTAAAATCCTTCTTTGGACATTAATGATCAAATTTACCTTCTCTGATACATTTGTCCGTTGTATATCATATATAGGATTACTTTTTAAAATGTGAAGTTTTTAATTTGAGACAGTATATTTCTCAAATACGATATTAAACCGCAGTGTTTGAGTTAGTTTGAAGACGTGCTAATGTTCCAGTTGGTTTAATATAACTCCCCAGTAACAGTATTGCATAATCAGATGCCTATCTCTCTACTCGGAACTTAGGCAGTATGCACGGCAGCTGTTAGGACATATGACGTGTTTTGGACGCATCGATCCTGTTATTAATAACGTTCCTATTCTGACCGGGCGGCTTACGAGTGACTAATCTTGTAAAAGACGTATGTCAAATAACAAGCAGGTGGATTTTCTCATATAAACATGGATATGCATTTCATTTTAAATAGGAGATATATCAATGATACTCCTAATCTAAACATACATGTCTTTTGTCGTACATGATTCTCGTGATGTTTAACACCAAGGCTCGCTAAATACAATGTTATTTCCTAATGCAGGATATTTACCATCCCCAAACACACTCGCGTGATAACCTCTATTTATGTGTGTACTTACTGTATGTTAATCCACACAGTGTGTAAATCAGTGAAAACAAACTGGCTATTGGCTATTGGACAGTTATTGAACGATACAAGGCCATCGGTATACCTCAAGCTTAAGTTAAACTTCCTGTTCAAATTACCTTGGTTTGACTTTGCTAGTACGAGCAGAAATTTTGATTCATATGCATACAGAAACAGATCTGCAAGAGGACGAGCATTACTGGTTCCCACCGGGATGCCTACTCCTTGCCAAAATGTCTTATCCCCACATTTTACATAGATATTGTTACTAAGGTAGTCCAGCATTTCACATATTGTTTTCTCGGTAGCCTTCAAATGCTCTCATTTTTTTGCCAAATTGTTCTGAACCCCTCTCAAGATAGTCATATAATCTGTGGTCATCACGTTTAGTAAGAATGCCTCAAGGGTCGTAACGTTTGTCTGACATATTTGATGTTGGTTCCTTTATGGTGATTTTTGAGAACCCACATGGTACAGATTTCACTTGAATATGAAGAAAGGTTTTCCTTGATTGTGTTAAGGAACTGTGATTAATCCTTGAGACATGGATTTGGCGGTACACTTGCTGGACCACGCAGTGTATCTCCCATTGCAATTATGTTTATTACCCATGTGGTGAAGATACAGGTGGTAAGATACTAAATCCGTACGTCACACGTGTGTCGTACAAGGTTGACCTTGTTTTATTCGTTTTGGTTAGATAACCGTGACCTCTGTCACACCGGGACTACTTTTTTCATTCATAAATACATAGTAAATACATAGTGTTTATTCCTAATACAGGATATTTACCATCCCCAAACACACAAGCGTGATAACCTCTTTATCATATAATGCCATTCTTTAATTCTGTGCTTCAAAATCGCTTTCCCTCACTCACAAACTTTACCGAAACATTGCGAGTTTTCCTGGAATGCGCGCATTAATATTTATTACGTCACAGGGTAAGTGATGTGTCAGTCGGACAGTGACAGTAGCCAATATAGTTCCAACTGAAATATGTTTCTTATACAGTGGCCAAGCAACATATACGCAAAACAACAATTGTTTTTAATTGTCTTTCGCGGCAATCCATCGGTCTGTCCGCTAGAGTAACTGCCCTTTGTCAAAGGGGAACTACTCTAACCCTAGTCTATGAGACGTCACGGCCACGGTCAGATGTTGTTGACAGTCGGTCTGTCCTGTCATAACGATAAGAAGTGTTGTCAGATGTACACACAGCGACAAAACGAAACAAGGTAACAATTCAAACATATTTCCGCCAAATCCAACTATTTTAATTTGTGGAGGGTGTTTCAAGCCGCAGAGGTCTACAAGCACAGATATGGCTACTGATCCCGCTTGGCTAGGTCTCGTGCCCTCGCCAAATTGTTTCGAAATGTATATCTCAAAAGTTGCCAAAACTTATAAAATGCCTTAGCTACGTCACAGTTAGACACATATTTTCAGTATATTAGACTGTTCTTTTGATAATGATAGCAATTATCCCTGTAGTTTATCCAGATTCCCGATGGTTAATTCTGACTCGATCGCCGAATGACGAGGGCGACGCCGTGTTTGTTTATAAACAGTGAAAGTAGTCCCTACGTGACCTTTGATATTTGCATCTCTATCCGCATATGACCCCAACGGATATCGTTTTTATCCGTTGGCTTTATCCTGCCGAGAAACCTACCCATTATATGATAAAAATGCATAACTTGTTCAAGTCACGATATGGCTGAAATACTGCCGATGTGACTTTAAATATTAACTCACTCACTCACTCACTCACTCACTCACTCACTCACTATGGACACTTGTAATTCAGTACAAAAGAGGAATTGACATGTCTTACGTCGAGACAAAAGTTAGAATAGAACTGGTTTTGGCAGAATTCTTAGATACCTCAGTTACCATACTGTCCTGCAATCACGCCTGTCCCTCAAGATGAAACACCTATGACGCTACCATTCATGGAAGTTATTAACAATAAATGTCAAAC